GAACAATATGATTTCACACAGAAATAGCCATACATGTCACATAACAACCTCTCAAGCTCAGTGAGACTCCATGGTTCACCTCATAGAATTGGCTCAGCCAGCTCACCTCTGTGTATTTTTAAACTCAGAGAGGTGTCATGACACAAACAGGCTTTTCTTTGCACTCAGAGAAGTGCTATACTCAGTCAACCATCTGTCTGGAAGTTGTCTGCCTTCAGCCTCATCCCTCGTTTTTTCAGTCATTTTAGGTTTGCTTTTGGCTTAAGGAGCTTTTCTAAACATAGTAGTGTCGCAGCCGAATCGTCTTTTTTGGCATGTGGCATATGATATATGTTCAGATATCATGGAGATATCATGTAAGAGTTTATGCAAATGGGAGTGAGAAACATTCAGGTCACTTCTCTTATGGCGGAAAACACACTGAGGTACTGTGATGGCTTCCACTTTTCCCTCTATGTCAACCAATGACAGTGATAGTGTGTGAACATTCACCAAGGTTTTGGTGTCTGGTTGATTCCCTTTGTACGCTATAAATGAATCTCACAAAAATGTACTGTGACTGTAGACAGTCATTTTCTGTAAACATACCAATATTAATCCAAACAGTCACAATATTTTGTCACTGCTGTGTCACATAAAACGTGTTGATTGAATGTGTTAATTATTGTGTTACCTGTCATGATTGAAGTTTTCAGAAGTGAGTTAAGTTTATTTTATTTAACATGGACATAGCAAAAGCACTGCAACATACAATTATGCACAAGCACCAGATGCAGTGTAATTACTGTTTGTAGTGCAACGCTAATTTATAACACCTGTCCACAGAAGGCTAGTAGTATAAGAATGACTGCTTCAAATGTGTCTGCTCTAAAGACCTTTGTCACAGCAGCCCTTTTAACATGAAATAGTAAGGTAAAGACAGGTCTTACTTATGATACTAATCAAGGTGTTACTGTTCCATTTACAATACCGGACCATTTCCAGTGAGCCAAAATGCACTATAGCAGCACCCTGACTCTGTTTGACCTGAATGGAATGGAACCTCAGTTAGAACCTCTGTAATTAGTATTATGGTAACACCTGTGTTTACCCTTTGAATGTTAAAATGGCTGCTGCAAAGAAGGTCTATTGTGCACATTCTTGTCTGCACTATAATATATGTCCTACATTAGTAGTTTTCCATCATCATCAGGGGCTAGAATTGTTCTGGTTGAACCATAGAAAACCAACTGTTCTCAGAGCCCTGAGCACCAGGATTCAAAAACACACTTTGAAATGTCTTTTGTGCATTTACATGCAAATGTTATGCAGGTGTGTTTGAGTCTATGTCTGACAAGTAGAATAATTTCCTTCATCCCTTATTTAATAGAACTAATTTGATTTAATTATGCAACTTTTAATTTCCTCAGAAGGAACATTACATTAACTGAAAGTGGGACTGCGATGATTTAGTATTGTACTTCAGTAATGTTAGGGGGACTCACAACAGATGGAGTCAAAAACAGAAGGTCAAAATTGAAGCAACAGAGCTCCAGAAATGCTTGATCCAGTATTTCCCATGTCGTGACTCAATAGCCTTTTTCATAAGACCTTTCCTACCTGCCAAATTCCCACTTCATTCAAAACCCACCAGTTTCTAAGGCAGAAAAATATTGACATGGCCATGGTCTTAGGAGCCTTAACCAGAATCTGTGCTGTTACATTTTGCATGATAATGACTCTGATATGGTGGAGCCTTTTATTTAATGTTAAGCAATATCGCATGAAGTTTACATTTGAACATTTTTTAGCACATTGTTTCAGTGTATCATAAAGAAAATGCAGTGAAACGAGTAGTTTTTCAAGCTCTCGCCAAAGCCTTACGCTTTACAGCTGCCCTGTTGTGGGACTGATGGGCCATAGTAATGTCCTCCTCATGGCTCTGTGAATTGTGCACACACATTCTACACTGTGACCTAGGAGAATATACAGAAAGTATGCATTACACACAGAAACACATACACATACACATATTTCCCACAGGCTTTGAAGATTAAATGAGTCTTCAACACATAGTTAAATTAGCACAGCTGGAGGTAGAAAGTCAGCAGGATGCTATGTATGCATGTGCTGTATTCATAAAAAAGGAAACTGGGCCTCGTTCAGCTCCTTATAAGACTGCTGCTCACTGCATTAATCTCTTTATCCTGCACTGGCAAAGCCACTTCAAATAGGGACTCGAGATTTACACACCAACTCTTGTCTTAATGAACAAGGGAGATGAGTGTTTGTCTGGCAGAAGTGCAGAAACGTTGTCCCCCCGCATGCTGCCATCAAAGAGAAGTACAAATAAGTAATTGACCCTGTCTCATGTTTTAATGTGTAGCTGTATTGTTGGGAAAAATAAAACCTTAGATTACAGTGACATAAATCTTTTTTTTTTTTTTTTTCTCAAATGCAGCAAGCAAAATCCTAAAATGGATTGTTGTGTTTTATTTCTTTGGAACATCTATGCCACGAGCATTCAGAGAATGCTAAAAAGACTTCACACACTCCTAGTATGTCTGGGTTAACAGCTCATGGAGGAGGGGATTGGGTTGAGAGTGTGATGGAAGAAAGAACAGAAGGTAGAGGCTTGAGGAGAGGCCTTGCTTTAACAAGCTTATCTCGCTCCCTAATTCAGTTTGGGCCATCCAAGTGTTGAGAGACTGAGTCGCTAGGGGCGGTTGTATTTTTTGACCGCTACCTGTGACAGCAATTACAGGTTCCCCTTCAAGCCTGCCTTTGTTTTGGTGGCAGACTTGACTGCTTGGGTAGAACGAGATTACCTCAACGTTCTGCAACAGGAGCATAATCAAAGCCTCACAATGCAAGGTGTCATGCCCCTCTAAATCAACCAAGCAGCCCCTGCCACTGTTTTTTTGTGGCCCCCTTCATCCAGCAGGTTGTTGGGATATTATTATCGTTATATCAGAGCTGTTGTTTAAAGGTTTTATACATTACAAGAAAATATTAAACACTGCTGTCGCAGAAACGGCAACGAGCACTGCTTTAAACAAAACTGGAAGCAGAGGCTGAAGGAGAAACCTCATGAATAGTGTATTCAAAACAAATGAAGCATGCATACGTAGTGTGTGACATCTGCATAATTGCATACCTGTAATCACAGCACTGTGAATTTGCTGCACGCAAACTTCAATGGCTTTTGTCCTGCTTTCATTAGCTTAACATCTCACAAATGGAGGACTGGGGGTTTATCCACTTGGATACCTTTTAAAGAGCCAAGAGTTGGCTTTGTAGTTGTTTTGTTCACATGTGTGTCAGGACCCAGGTCTATGCCTGCTTATGTAGACAGCAGGGGTCTGCATTTGGGCCCCTGCAATACCGAGGGAGCAGTCCTCAATCTTAAAGTAGCTGGGAGGAAAGAGTAGTGTTGGAACCTTATGAGAGATGAAAACTATGAGTGAGCTCATTCACATCACTGCTCAAGAAAAAAATAAATAGTTTCAGGGTTTGTAACATATTGCAAGCAATAAAAGTGCAGTGCGATGTGCTGAGATGCACAGTGGTGTTCTGCAATGTGTCAAGACCAGGAGGTGGAATGGAACTGAGCCATAACTCATATACTGCTTCAGTTTGTTTGCTCATTTGTTTAATCTACCCAGGGCCCTATTTTGTTTTGTCAGAGTAGTGTGACACAGTATATGTTGGCCTATGACCAGGCCAATTAGTGTGATGTATGGTTGTCTCGATGTTGAGTATATTCAGCAGAACAAATAAATCTGCATGCTGTATGTTTCTCTCTCTTGCTGTCCTTGTGCTTCTAAATTTTGCCACTATCTTCCCATGTGACAGCAAAATGCCAAGTTGCAACCTGTTTTTCATCCCTATTGACTGTAAATTAATGCTATGTATGTGATAAGTGAGAGCTTTGCAGTGACATTTAGGCTATTAGCATTTTAATGTTGGAAAATGCGCAAGGCAGTGCTATAAATCATTAACACTATTTGACATTAGTATAAAACATCATACTCTATTAAAGAAACTCACACGTGAAGTTGAGGAAATTTTACACCCATAAGTCATATTTTTGATGTTTACAAGTATTACAGGTGTTTCTTGTACAGAAAACAACAATACACATTTGGCTTAATTTGATACAGAGATGTAAAAGTATTTCCACATTGTTCCCATTATGTGAAATGAACTCTTAACATTACACAACACCTGCTGCTTTATGCTTATGAAAGATCAGTGGGAGAGTGACTTAATTTATAATACTACCATTGATGTTCCATTAAAATATGAGCTGTATTATTTTACTGCACTGTATTGCCCACATTAGTAGGCAATGTCTTCCTTTTAACTTCTACTTTAGATTGATCACATATATTATTCATTTGACATAATTAACACAGTGGAAATATCTTACTTAGAAAAAAAGCCTAACCTGTTTAAGACATGATAGTACAATATTTTCTCTGAAGCAGAGTGACCCAGGTAAACTTAATGGAGCTGTAATACTTATTCTTGTCATGCATTTGGGTTCAGTTTAACCATTTTTTGAATCTCAACAATGTTGTCTACTTTAACACAACATATGCCCTTTAAATAATGAAGCATAATTGAACCCTAAAATATCAATAAAAGTAACAGTTTGTGTTTACTGCCTAGCACCCATGCGCTGTAAATTTTTGCAACAAATGAGAAGCTATTAAAAATTAACCCAAATGGAGCAGTATGGGTCTCAGAAGCTGCTGCGCCATGCGATTTCTGTTTTGCTGAGGCGAGGCTGTGGACTTAGCCTTGTTGTTCAATACTCTGTGAATAATTGAAACTGACTTTTTGTGCCCAGTGTCTTTATACAGTAAATCCTCTGATGACATCAATAGAAAAAAAAGATGCTGACTAGATTGTGAAAATGTAGCATCCCTGACACTTTTACTTTTCCACTTGCTGAGTTTCTTGAGAAATTAAATTAGTCATTCTACTGTCTTCTGTCTGTTTCTTCCCTCTTTCAGGTGGACTTGCTTGTGCCAACCAAGGTCACAGGTATCATCACCCAGGGAGCTAAAGACTTTGGCCATGTCCAGTTTGTTGGCTCATACAAACTGGCGTACAGTAATGATGGAGAGCGGTGGAATGTTTATCAAGATGAGAAACAGGGGAAGGACAAGGTAAGGAGCTTTTACAGCCCATAATAACCATGATCAAACACAAATCACACAGATGTAAGCCACACCAACCAACATATTAACTGACAAAACATATCAATCAAATATGAGACATCTTTATTGTCATGCACACATGCAAACATACTGAAAAAATACAGTGGAATTGTAAATGCACGCCTGTGGGTACTGTGAGTACTGAAGTTTTAAATTATATATCACACTATGAAGGAAAGGGGCATTCTAGGTAAAGAGAAACAGAGTTAACAGAAAAATGCACAGAAAGGACAAAAACCTGAAGCTGACAACAAACAAAGCAGCAAATGTCAAAAAGTTTTAAGTGAGTGAAAATGTCAATTTTGGGACCTGTCTGTTCCTCCTTTCCACTTCCCTTTAGCATCTTCTTATCTGTGGCTCAAACTGAGCTTGCCTGGTCTGTCCTACTGCGTGTCTCTGGTTTGGGATCTGATAAGACCTGGCTGTCAACCTGGCCTGGCCAGTGCTATGCTTGTTTACGGCCCTTCAACAGAGTCCACGTCCATTCCAATCGCCCTCGACAGCAGAGACAGTGCAGGGCTGCATCAGCCTCTCTGCTGATATCAGGAGAGCTGCAGGCACAGGGTTACAGCTAAAGCTGAAGCCCCTTGTCTTTCAGATACTGGTGGCAAGAGAGGCAGTGTTTACTTTTCTCTCTGACTGTGTTATTGAAAGATAAGCCTTACTTCGTCTGCTTATTCGTATTTGTGATATGTTGACTAAGAAAAATCAAGAAACAGAAGTCTTGTAGAGTCCAAGCATGTATATTGAGCAAAAAAGCAAATACTGTAGAGGAGATGGAAATCACGTTATTATATTGTACATTGTGATCATGATATAGCTACTGTATAATCTACTGAATAATGTGTTGTGTTATAATTTTACAGTGAAATTAATCTATGTCTTTGACATCATTTCAGAGTTTTTAATATTATATAGAGAATGCTTTAGGGTGAAATAATATATATTTTACCTCTGGGAAGACATTTTGTTACTGTGAATATGCATAAAAGATTGAATTAAACAAAGTCCAGCTTGAATAGAAGTTTCACTGAACTGGAAGATTAGTTGTCAATAATATGTTGTGACCAGTTGGAAAGGATTGCACAGCTAATACATTCATAATAAGAATGCAAGTGTTTGCAGTCTTATTTGGCATAGCATTTGATGAATATTTAGAAGATATATTGATTTAGATTGCACTAGATTCAATCTTTAAAACATATTGGCATACATTTATTTATTCATGCAAATTTATTTCACACATTTCAAAATAATTATCCAATATGAAAGCATTTGTGGATAGTTTTTCTAATGGCTTAAAATCCATGAGTCTTTAATTTGCCATCATAGTTCAACTGCAGCCAATGCCCTGCAGTCTGTGCACATATGTTTCTCTCACAAAAATGATTCTGAGCAGTCTGTAGAGGTTACATGGTGACTTCAGCTGCCGTTTCAAAATGAGATTTTCTAAAGAAGAGCCTCTATTTTGTTTGGCTTGGTGTGGTAGACCTGCAGCTGAAATATGACAGCACCTTGTTAAAGCAAATAATACCCCTCAGTATATTTCATTATCCTTGCTGTAGCCAATGACCAGAAATATTTTCCATTTTTGCAGTTCAAATTCCTTGCTTGAGGAGTTTATAATTTTAACATCCCTGATGATCTTTGGATACGGGCCAGTGCATGCTCAGCATGATTTTCACTCAATGCACTGGATGAGCATATGCTGAGATAGCAAAGGGAACGAGAGAAAAATACCTTTTATTTATTTAAACACTGATTTTCAGAAATGTCTCAATGGTGACCAGCATGTTTGTCAAGCTATGCATGGATTTAAACATTTCGTTAAACCAGATACAAGATATTTCTATAATCGTCTATAGCCTTGAATGATTTGTTATTGCTGTATAATTCAGAGCAAAACCAAGGATAGGCAGTCAATCTGAGTGTGTGCGCTCTGTATTAGAGGGCAGGCGTGTTTAGCAAGGCTTCTGAGAATGTCAATCAGTTTGTCCCTAGACGGAGCCAAGGGGCTGTTCAGATGTATGATTCTTCAAGGTGTTTTCCCCCTTCAGTCAGCTGAAGCAGCCATTAATGCTAGAGGACACATTTGGCTGTCGGACTCCCGAGGCTCCTCCTGCCACACCACAATGCTTGACTTGGCAGGGATATACTGTGAACGTGTGTGTGTGTTTGTGTGTGTATGTCTAGGTGTCTGGCTCGGGCACAGTGGTAGAGGCTTGTAAGTATTCTTCTCAGCTCCCCCTCCAGCTCCTGTGTGGCAGAGGCTGCAGGCAGTTAGATCTAGATTGAGAGAGGAGGCTCTGTCAGAATACAGATGTTGTCAAACAGAGCACAGTGGAAACACACACAGTATCCCTCTACAAAATCCATAGAGTGCAGTGTTTGCCTTTTCTTACACACAAATCCCGAATATCTATGTACTGCACTTGTAAGTGAGACAAGTAACAACATAGTCCATTATTTAAACATAATTAAACTGGGATACATTCCATATCGGCTCGGCTGCATTCCCACATGTACACACTTTCCCCACCTGGGTCACTACTCTGCCTAATCCTGCACCACTGCTCTTTCCTGGGTGTCAATATTTACACAGTCAGTTGATGGGGGCAATCAAGCACAAAAGTAATTGATTTATGTTTAATAGTGTTTCACTCACTTGACATGGGGTTAATTAGCCATTAGAGTCTTCAATTCCCTCCAGGTCAGAGGGTAACCGAAGTTTAGATAGCTGTGACTACAATCATTTTAAAATTAACCACTAATAGTCATATTTTGTTTTTCTACAGTCTTGGATAATATTGGCTGCGGGGTTTCATGCACTTCAGGATTAAAAAAACAAATAACATATTGCCTTCCTTTAAGGAGAAGTAGCATTTCAGTTTGATTGAGTTTAACTGCCTCTTCAAGGCTGGCAATCCACTCTTGACCTTTCAATGAAGATGCGGCTGAATTTCCCTGGTATCAACCATTGACAGTAAATATAATCGACAGAGCTTCCAGCAGGGGGAGCTCCATTGACTGCAATAACACACCGGTACCATTCACTCTAATGGAGAATGAGTCGACTTCTCTCTTGATTTATGAGCTCAGTAAACAGTTTCCACGTGTTATTCAATACATTATGATATTAATTTAGTAAATTATGGTCCAATTTAGAGGAAAATAAACAACAAAACCATGTATGCTTATGGGCGTGGCTACCTTATGATTAACAGGTCACTCTCAGTGAGTATGTCCAGCACAGCGCACAAAATTTAGGTCGAACTGTAAAACTAGGCAGTGCTGATCAAATATGAAGCAAGATTCGTTTACTCTCTACTTAAAATCGTTTCAGAAACATATTTTAGTGTACTGTTTAGCTGTAATACGAGATTGTGTGTGACCACCGCCATTGTTTAGTGTTACGAAGAGTCAAAACTGCACAGCCAATGAAAGTACGTCACCACCGCTGGCTTTGTCTAACTGTCATGGCCAAAATGGTACTCCACAGACCAATGGGTGACGTCACAAATGTGGCCTGTAAGGCAATATGAGGGCAGAGAGCAAAGGATTCTGAGCAACCTGCTCCCTTGACCTGTACAGCAGGTTTAAATAATGCACTGTGGCACTGTTGTATCTCTAGAGGCATACAAGGCCTCCTTTAGTAATGCGTACCCAAGACTATACCCTCCTGGAAAATCAATAGTTGGGAGCAGAGTTGTGGCTCCTGCATCAGTCTGGAGACACACACAGAGAAATGTGTCCTTAACGCTTGTGTCTCGATTGCTGGATAATATAATTACACTTGGGGGCAGCTAGCACAAATACTACCAATGGGCTGCACTAGTGGGCTGCACCAGTGGGCTCCACCAGTGGGCTGCACCAGTCAGCAGCATGTGGCTCTTCCTCTATTTTTCCGATTCTGCTGCTGTCAGGCAGGTTGACTTCTGCTACAGCGGCTGCCTCATTTATACTGTGCTGTATCTGTACTATTATTTTCTCATTGCTATAGTTCAGAAGTTGCTTTAGCTTATGTTCATGTTGCTAACTTTGACAATGAGAATTAAAAATTTCATCCAACACATCCCTCCTCCACAAAACTGATCAGAGTAGAATAAACCAAATTTCAACCTGTTGCACAGCTGGTCCAATTCTAACAGAAAATTGGAAAGGTCATCCATCAATGCATTGTGTTAGGCCATTTGCAAATTAACAAATATATGATTAAATAAATGTATAAGTTTTTGAATATGATGTTTACAAATGGCATACTTCAAACTTGCAACCCAACAAAACACAGTTCTATGGTAAATATCAGAAGATGGCAGAGTATTATATAGCTTTTATAGTTAGTTATAGTAGTTAGACTAAAGGTAATGGCTTACATCCATTCTTCACAGTAGAGTACCTCTGGCTGAGATTGCCTATGTTAGGTATAGTGAAGTACAGTATTTTTCTAGTATTTGTACTCAATTTCTTTCTGCCCCTTAATTATTTTATGCACTTAAAGTTATTCTTGTTGTTGTTGAGGATACTTTCTTCACCTTCCTCAATCCTTTTCTTATTTTCTTCCAAGCAGCATTTCTTCTTTTATTGTGAAGCTTCAGATATCTTGCTCCAGACAGTTTTTTTTAGAGACATAGCCTTTCATACTGTGCAGCTCCCCAGACAGTCTAGGGGAGATTCTTGTCATATTTCAATCAGCTGCTGCTTTTATGGCCTTTTTGTCCTGCCTTTTATATTGTGCTATCATGTGCCCTGGTTGACACATTACAGTTGAGGCAACACTCCTGAAAGTGACACATTCTTCGCTTCCCAATGTGAAATATTGTGGTTCTAAAACAGTAAAAAGAACAGTTTAGAAACTGGTCTGTGCTGGTTTTCACTCCAGGTTTGTAATATTATTAATATATGTAAGCAGTATGCAATTGGGAAATGTTATGAACATGTACTGAAACAGATGTGGACCAGCACACACTGTTGCTGCTCTCTCAACTGATAGTGCTACTTTACCGCCATGAAATGAGAAGCCATACTGCTTTAATACATACTGCACATTCAGTTTCTAGACTAAAATTGTATTTTAGAGATGGATTAAAGTGAGTGAGTAAACAATAGCATGTTTTGAGTACTCTGGTAGTCTGGAGACTTGTAATAAAGTTATACCATTAACTTAACACTGACTGAGATCTTTAAAAAAATATTACATAATTTTTCTTTTATAATGGCGCCTTTAAAGCATGATTTTCTTGGCATGTATTAGTGGCAATACTTGGTTGGCCACTGGGGAAAAACTGGTAGCATTGCAGACCCTACAACAGAGTACGCACCTCTATTAAAACATGCTTGCACCTGTATCCTAGCTCAACAGAAAATGCACATTCAGAGTCATGTCAATATATGCCATGTTTATGGTAGTAGTCCAGAACTGACAAACCAAAAACTGTCTGTAGATAGGGTCTTTGCAAGTTTTCCAGGTTTGTTGGGCCTGATTGGAAATCTGTAGTTTTGTTGTTCGACTGCTGTGCTATATTCATTTATGCTTAACTTATCATGCATATCAATTAAATTCAAAACACTTTATCTGTCACTCAAGGGGCATTTCATGGTGAGCAAGCCCGCAAACAGAAGTACACAACTAATTTACACGTATAAAAACAATCTAAATACAAACATGACAATATTAGAAAGACATACACATAGTGGCAAGTCCATCGCTGGTCAACAATATCCAACACCACAAGGGCACATATTATGTCAAATAAATGCAAAAAGTCAGTTTTTAGCAGTCTATACAGTGTATAACCTACAGTAAACAGCGTTCATTACGTCCCCAGTTGAAGTTGAAGAAGCAGACAGGCGTACCAGCAAGCAATGTACAGGTGTGGTATCACTATATTTAGAATAGTTTCACTGCTTTACATTGCTGTCAGACAGCCCACTTCAAGAAACCTGAACTATACCTTTTAATCATAAAGTACAGGATATGGGAACCTTGAATATTTTAAGCTTTTTAAGTGTCTGCTTCTTAAGCACTGTGTAATGTGGATTTTTTTATGTTTATAAAAAGGAGAAGAAAAGAAACAGAGAACAGAGAAAGAGAGAGAAATGACAGGGAGGGCAGGATGCCATGTGATGTAGTGGTGTTTGCTTGTCTGCAGATGCAAACCTTATCTGACTACAGTCTAAGCTCGGTGCTACAATAGATGAGAAAGACAGGGACAGAATGAGTTTCACTGCTGTAGGAAAATGATGAAAAAGAATGTAGGATGAAAAGGTGACCTGCACTCGTTTGTATTAGACTTGTGAAATAAGGAAAGTAATGAAAGTGTACACCTGTCACATGATTTCAGCTTTAGTTTGCAGTAAGAATAACTCACAAGAGCAGTGGAAACAATAGAATACTAAATTACACGAAAGCAGTCATATACAAGCTAAGAAGAGGAGGCAGTGTTTTGGTATCGTGTCACATCTTTGCATGTTGATCAGGGACAATTACATCTTATATGTCCAGCTGCTAGTGGATAGCTAGTACTCTCATGAGACTGTCTCTTACATCTCAATACCATATGTTTAATGTCTCTCTATAGAATCTGAGCAACACGTTATACTTATTGTGACCTGTACAGGTATGTGCTTTATTTAGATTAATTGTATTAAAGTTTTAGAATGATGAAAGTGATATTAGGTTTGAATTAAATGCAATCTGTTATAATGTTTTAGATTTTCACAAGCACCAACATCAAGCTAAAGTGGCCTAAAGGAAACACTAATGCAGCATTTTAACATGATACATCGTGAAGCTATAATTATACCTGTGAATAATTACACAATGCGCAAACATGAGTGTCAGTAGTGTTTTAATAATAACTTATTACACTGGAGAGTCAAGCAAACAGTAACATGCCCGATAAATAGTGCAGCACAGCCAACACAATGGATGGATATGTAATGACAGACAAAAGAAAGTAACATTCTCTGTGGTAGCAGCCACAAAAATAAAAACAATGGTTTGTGTGTTTGAGTTTCATGTTCTATCTTAAGAAAGTTAACTGAAGTGTTTAGTTAAGTTTTAATTGAAGGTTTAAGAAATAAAAAAGTTAACCTCCACACATTTCAATTATGTTGATTTTCCTTTAACTTTGATTTAATTGTTACCATCATGTACTTGACTTAATCATATTTTTATTCTTTCTTCATGAGCTAAACTTGTAACATAAAGCCATTTGAGGTTTATGATGATGGGTGAGATTGCAAACTCACTCTGTGTTGATAAAATAACTGTATAAGGATTTTCTCAAATGTGGTGTAAATTGATACATGTACAGAGGACTGAATGAATATTATTTGTGCAAACAAATCTATATTATGTGTATAATTATGTTTACAGTAGCCTGAAGGCATATATATGCCTTGGAGCATTTTGAAGATTTACCAGTCTAACAAAAAAAAAAAACAATATTCTGGTTGTCTGTGTATAAGTTTAGATTTTATTATGCTTCATTCAGTGAATAGTTTACATTACACAGCAGCAGCTGTTTAACCAGTTGAGTTAACACTAATCTGTTTGACGAGGGAAATAGGTGCATTAGTTTGCTGCCAGGCTGTCGCTCCTGCTTGCAGAGGATATTTGGATAAAGCTGGACCTTTTCTACATTGAGCCTTTTGAGTCTTGAGATGCAGTGAGCAGTGTGAGCATGTTTTTCGAGGTTCAGTTCAAAATGAAACGATGCCTGTTGCTTTTGCAGTCTTTAAGTCCAAGACGTTAATTCAATTTGTCTGACCAATTGCAATTGTCAATTTCTATTATATTGTTTGTAATTATGTAGTAGGTATCCAGTTGGCAGTCGACTTTAAGTGGCACTCCAACAGTACTATCAAATATAGCAAAAAAGTTGAGCTCCTTCACAGGCTATGGATATATATAATGTATGAATATACCAAAATCCCTAGTTTTTTGGTGCATGGCCATTGTTTTAGCTTGTTATAAAGAAACCTTTAAGACCATGTTGAAATCCAAACTGGCTCTTATGATTATTTGAAAGAGAATTAGTTGAAGCTTTACTCTAAAAAGGTCAACCTCTGTCTGCAGCACCTGCTTGGATTTGGCCTGCTGATTTTCCATTTCCACACAACAGTGAATCCCATCACATCCCAATTATACAGGCATAATCATGTCTGTTTAATTGAAATGATCATATCGTTCATTGAAGCAGTCCCTGTAGATACATTTCTTCCTAATATACTGCATTCTACTGTCTATTAAGCACACATCAACACAAAGCTTCCAATAATCAACAATATAGCACCCACATGGCAATTAGCTTTTTTGTATCTGGTAGTTAGTTAGCCCTTAAATTTTTGGTTCATGGTTTATCTAAAGGCTCTTAAATGTCATTGAATTTGTATTAAATTGGTGCATACTTGAATTTTTTGTTAGATAAAACTGGATTTTCAGTACTTTCAGCAATGAAGAATATGCCAGGGGCTACATAATGGCAGTTCACGTGTGTTGATCCAGAATGCATATTAGTCTGTGGCACACTATGTTGTGAGTTTTACAGAGCCAATAATGGAGAAAAAGGGCTTTTCTTTTATAGCAACATTTCTGGCAGTCACCGAAGGCTTTCTGGTATTGCCAAGGTGAAAAAAAAAGAAGAAAGAAAAAAAAAAACACGTACAGCAAAATTGAAGGAAAACAAGACCAGCAAGCATAAGGTGCATGTTAATAACACTGCTTAGAAAGCAGGGGAAACAACAGTAGTTGTCTGTCACTAATTGTGAAGGTGGGACTTCCAGCTGTGCAGCTCTAACAACGCACAATTTTCCACAGGGGGAAACTGTTGATGTGCTCACATGTGTGGTGCATAAAAGGAAAAGAACCAAGAACAGGGCTGAGTTCAGAGAATGTACAACTGTTATTGGCAGTGTTTGAATTGAAGCTCTGATTGGCTGCACTTCATTCAGTACCTGCTCAGGCATGAGGCCTTCGAGGTACCAGTCTGGAGAAATCAGGCTAGAAATGCAGCATGAATGTTCTGCACCTGCCTCCCAGTAAAAAGATTTCTGTGGTTATTTTTTCAGATGTGGACTAAAGCATTTAATTACAATTTTCTTTTCAGTCTTCAAATATTCAAATATTGCTGCACTATTAAAATTCAGTTTTCAGAGTGATGTTTTTGTTTGTTTTTTGAAGAAAAAATGGTTTCTGGTTTTGTAAGGGGAAATCATAATCAAATGTAATAATTCCTCCATGCTGATGTTTTTTATAGGTATTCCAAGGGAACTTTGACAACGACACACACAGAAAGAACGTGATAGATCCACCTGTCTATGCTCGGCTCATCCGGATCCTTCCCTGGTCATGGTACGGCAGAATCACTTTGCGTGCAGAGATACTCGGATGCACAGAGGAAGAGTGAAGTCCTTTCTTTCATCTTTCTTGCCATTGTCCCCTGTCCCTTGGCATACTGGAGGATCTCACCCAGTATTTCAAAAATAAAACTGTGCAACCTGTAAAAAGAAATCAATTTCCAATGGATTTTTCAAGAATATGTGTTTAGTTGTGGTGGGTTGCTGTTTGTTTTTTTGTACAATGATTTAAAACCTGCCCCTGATCCACTTTTGTCTTTTAGTTTCCTCTTTAAAGCGTGATCTTTGTCTTTTTATTCTTCTCAAGATTTACCATCCTGTTTGGAATGAACTTCTGTAATATATATGGGAGGGGTGGGGTTAGGGGTGGAGTTGGAAAGCGGGTTTTGCTGAGGTTTTAACTTGTTGCCATGGAAGCTATTGTACAGTGTCACTTTTTAACAAAGATGTGAAATCTGTCTGCCGTGCTTCATTGGACATGATTAACCAACTCCATAACATAACTAAACTGTCTAAAATACCATGTAGAGATCACACGTTATCACATTATCAAATATATTTTTACTTTGGTTACTACACATCCTCAAGCCATGCTTTTACACTAATGGGCACTGGCATTACTACATCAATCAAAACACTATTAATGCTCTTGTATTATATGTAAAAGACTAAGAAATTGCATGGTGCGTGAATTATAAATGTATATTATGACAAATCATTTAAAACCTCCAGCCCTGAGAGCAACGGCTTTGATTTAGGGACCTATTTTTATGTGCATTTTTAAATAGTTCTGAAACATTACAACACACTGCAAAAGCTTACTGAAGATGACTGATATGTGAGACAATAAACACGCACTGCAGTTAAATGTGGTACTGCAGCACTGACACTGAGGCTTATAGGCTGTCTCTAGTTGAAATGTCTCAATGCTCTCATAAGGAGTTGCCATTTTTTATTTGTATCTATTTGATTATCACTACACTTTTTCTAAGATATTTGGAATTATTGTTTGTGCTTGTTCTTTTTTGTATTTATTTAGATTTATTTGTCTCAGCTGTCAGATGCATAAAATCTGTGTTTAATGTCTTTGTGTTATCTTGGAGATCTAAGTTGAATCAATTAAAAAGCTCAGGATAGATGTCATTCACTAACCCACAATTGTATAATTTTTGGCAACCTATTTAAAGATTTCTGTGTATTATTGTTTTTTAAAATGGCAAATGATTGAACTGTCCATATATGCATAATTCAAATATTGAAAGCAATCTTTCATTTTATTTCATCCCTTTGATGTGTTAAATAATAATTGTTAATTAACTTCTGTATTTTAAAAAATGCAAATGTCCAAGATTTATAATATATTAATATATGACATTATCAAAAACCTACAGTGATGATGAACTGTGACAACAGTACATAACTCTAAATTAAATATGGGCAGTGTCTTTATTTCAAGAGATATGACCTTTAATAGTCTGGATCAAAGATGATATAGTCATAAAATGTCAAAGAACTTGTAGGTATTTTTACATGACAGCAGCTCTTTGCATGCTCAAATGGTTTTAAGATGCTAAAAATATTTAGACACATTAAGGTTACAAGGTATAAAGATGCATAGGCCAGTCACGTCAAAACATTCTATTTATACAGTTTTTCACTGTATGGATACTGCTTTTGGCTGCATGCTGCAGTAAATGAACATCAGTCCTTGGCTGGTTAAATAAATGGAAGCAAACAAGTACCTAAGGTATCACAGCAGTGTCCAACCTTACAGCCCATTCTACATGGCCTAAAAATAAAAATAAATTACTCTGGTGGTTTCCACTCTTGACTAGTTTTTCCAAATCTCTCGAGTGCTTGAATAAGAGCTGAAGGGAGCCATGTCTACTTTTATGCTTCGTGTTTCACTTAAGACTTGTCAGCTTTCAGTCACTTAACTAACCAATCATTTCATATTATAGGAATACAATGTATTTGTTCAGAGATTGCAGCCCAGCCTTAAAGAGAAAGTAAGACATTTACTGGAAAACCTTATTTAATTTAATGCTTCAACCATTCCAAATAATGTTGGTTGTCTGACACATTTGGAAATACAAGAGTGCCACTGTTATTTTCATCACTGTATACATAATTAATACAAATGCATTGGAATCAAACATTTTTGGACTACATCCAAAATGATGAAAAGCACAGCAAGAAAAAACTTTGTCATCATTCAAATATTTTGGGGCTTACTTTATATTGTTGTGAGCCAGGGCATTCTCAGCTGTCATGCCATCAACATGGATGTTGTCGTAGTTAACAATTAACTGTACGAAGTCTGAAAATTAAACAAAACATTTTCAATTGTTAATTGGGACTGAGTATAGCCAATTGTAGTCTGGTTTGGCAAATTACAATATGATATACAGTATATGATATAGTATACTATAATGGCCCTGGTGTGTTTAAAGATAAAGATATCTTTTACGCGTGTTATGTTGCCAAACTCGACCTGTACTTCAATGTAAGTTACACTGAAAGACTTTGCTGTAGATTACCAATATGTGAAAATGTTGTTGGTGTGAATCAGTGACTGTCATTCCTTGGGTTCATGAACATGATATAAGCATAAACAGATTCTTTCTCACAGATTATTTGTCGTTTGACATTTTCCATTCTGACACTTAAGTCGTTTATTGCCAAATATCTTGGCCAGCATCTGCTCTGATTGATCTTTGTAGTCAGCTTCCTGTCGGCAGGCCTGCTGCAAAGCTTTGAGGAAGTTTGCATGATGTATGAGTTTGAACAGTACAGTATAACAAAAATGTCCACAGGCACATTATGTTCTTGCATATCATAAAGATCTAATAGCCTTTACTTTGTACTCACCATCAATTGTCTTGTGCATTGTAAAACATCATCTCACAGGTTCAAAACGGGAGCAAAGTGGAAGCGCATCCTGTCTTTGTATTTCTGTGTCCGCTGTTCACATATTATTTCTTACCTCCTCGGTCTGAGTGTCAATCACTATCTAGAAAAAGTATCTATTATAATACTGGTTAGGTTCAAGCCTGCAGAGGAGAGTGATAAACTGTGTACAGTCAAAAAAAGATGTTGCTTCAAACAAAAGCTCTTTCAGTTTGACAAATAAAAACATATCTGTGAAAATGACTGTCGCTTTGTTTTCTTTAAATGTCTGATCTCTTATTCTGTTTATTCCTTCGGTATATAGATATATTATATCTTGATGGGGGATGTAGTCTTCATTGCACCTTCCTCATTCTCAGTCAATCAAGTCCCCACCTCAGCACTTGTCACTCATCTTGATGAGCTGAGAGGTCCACCTACAGTAGCCTGAGGCTGAGGTGTCAGCCATTCATACAGCTCACAATTGTTGCAGAAACGAACATCAGATGAAGGAAATCATCAATATTAACCTTTGTTTTTGTCTTTTTTTTGTTTAACAGCAAGGTTCTTTTGCTTTTGACCAGCTCTTTTATGCTGTTGTTATAAAGATACATGTGTCTTTAATTCTATGCTTCCCTTGGTAGCTACACTCATTGTATGCTATATCCACGCCATGCACTGCAAAAACACTGACAACGCAGTTTCACAGTAATAGCAGATTGTGGCTGTGCACATTGTGGCTTTATTCCTTGAATAAATAATGAAATGGCAAAGAGGGTAGGCTACAAAGACTGTAAGTTTATTTGCCAACTGATTATGTGTATGTGAGGAAAAATAATGAATGGTCTTTGGAGTCATCAAATAAATTGTGTACAGAACAGTTTCTCTGCGAAGTCTCAAGACTCAAATGTTTTTCACTTAAGTCAGAAAACCTGAGCTCACAAGATGTATGTTAGTTCTAAGAGGCTACAGTACCTTTTTTGTCAGCTGAAAACTGTTAAATATCCGACTTGCTGACAAACTTTATTGATTACCTAAAGGTGATTCATTAAAGGAACAGTTTGACATGTTGGGAAATTACTTGCCAAAAGTTAGATGAATTAATACCACTTTCATATATGTTCAGTCAGTAGCTGCAGCAAGCAATCAGTTAGCTTATTGTACCCTGGCTGCTAATGGTAGCTTCATATTTACAGGCAGAAAAACATAAAAACTTAAATATAAGAAATATAAAACCATGTAAAAACACCTTAGCTCAATGGCCCCTCACTTCAAAATATGATGCTGTAGATGCCCCTAGCATAATTTGTGGATGTACAGGGCTTTGCGGTCAAATTATCAACAGTTTTATTTTTTATTTAATGAGATAAGTCAATTGAGAACCAATTCTCATTTACAACGATGACCTGGTCAAGAGGCAGCCACAAGAGGCAAGCAAATACAACAAGTACAGCATACATATAGCTAATGCAGAAACAGTACAGGTAAACAGAGTTAAACAATTAAACATTGTGACACAGTTGCAGTTTTTTGGGTTTAGACACAAAATATACTTCCTTAGGTTTAGGCAAAAAAAAGTTTATGTTTGTGTTTCATAATTTGAATACATGAATAAAACCAAAAGTAAACTATTTATTTTAAGTACTTAAGTACTTAACTTGCATCAGATACGTCACACAAGTTTTTTTTGTTTCACACAGGACACGAACAGAGGTCCCTGTGGTTAAAATATTTGATTGATTCATCCCTCCCACCACCTCCATATAGGGACTTTCTCCATCTTTATACTACATCACCTGATGACAATGGAAGGTGTGTCCAGAAGTCACACTAGAAGGATACCTACAGCATCATATTTTGAAGCGGAGGACCATTGAACAAGCTGCAGTATCTTACGAGTTGGGAGTGTGACTGAGTTGATATAGCAGGTTGCAACAGATAAACATCACGTTTGTTAACATAATTTTAAAGTTAAATAATTTACAAACTATTCTGCAAACAAATTAGTATGAGTAGACTGTAGCTCTGTAATTTAATGTTTAATTAATCCGATAGAAATCTTCTTGTTAAAGCGTCTATTGGCTTTGCAATGCTTGGCCCTCTACTCCATCAAGCTTGTCTCAGTGTCGACATGATTTTACCACATTAAGCTGCTTTGATTGATTTTCTTTGTCCTGCCATTGCCAGTCTCTGTGTCTCTCAGGTGAGTTCTCACAGTTGTGGCAGGGGATCAAGAGGGTGAGTTGCAGGCCTGACACAGTTGTGGAAGCTGAAATGTCCAGTAATGGTTCTGTTATCAAAGTGTCAAAGCAGGGGGAGGTAATTGCCTCGTAACTCAGGTGAGTGAAGCTATTTGCCAATTAAAAGCTGATTAAAAAACAATCAGTTTAGACTGGTTGTCCTTTCCATTACAGCTTGATTAGTAAAGATTCTACATTCAGTGTGAGTGACCACTTTTTGATGGTCTTTGAGGAGGAGTGTAACCTCTTTAAATGGATATTTCCTATGTGGTATTTTACCTGCATCAAGTCAATACAGATCACATGGTGTTTCAACGTCACAGGTTATAGCAAATTACTTTCAATGCAAGAGATTTGCTAATTTTATCTCATTAAATAAGTAGCATGTGTCTTCTATACATTTTGTAACTTGTTATCTCAGTTAGTGACAACATCTTACAAGTAAGGTACAGTGGACAGTTTCCTCTAACTGCACTGATATCAAATCTAGAAACATGTTTTTGTTTTAGTTACTTAGATTTGACTGTAATTAATTAATTAATTAATTAACAGATTGATAAGAAATATTGTGTTCAAAGCCATTACATTGAAAATATAAGTATTATCAATGTGCACTGTTTTTTAGTGTATTCACTGGAGCCTGCTGAACCAAGGAAAGTAATAGGGAGAAGGGAAATGTCGGCTGGAACACAGAATTGCCACCCTAAAATGTACTTTAAATACACATGAATAGTGCATAAAATCATACCAGTATTTGTATCGTGCTTACATGTTGTTGTCTCTTTCTGCACATATGTTAAGTACAGATTCCTTTAGCGACTAAGTTATTTGTAATCTGTTTCATCCATTAATTACTATACTTACTATACATTACAGTTAATACATTTTTAACTTTTTCTTTTCTTACTTCCCACTGTTGTACTCCCAACATCCAATATTTATTTGCAAATCTACAACAATCCCTGGTTTTCTTCATCTTGTTTCAAGAAGCCCTTAGTGTAATAGAGCAACCACAAGTTGTGTGCCATTTTAATTTCAGCCGTTGTGGTAGCTGTTTGGACTTCTCTCTGTTTCTTGACCTTTTATTCCCTTTCCAATTTCACTTCTTTTATCTTTTCTCATGCAAGGAGCATAATTCTATTACTGCGATCAAAAGGCAAGTCGTATTTATTCTGGTGACCCACTGATTAAATTTAGCTTTGCAAACTGATGAATTGAGTCGGCAGATTAAAGCATCACTGCACTGTGTAAACCTGAGGTGGAGGGAGACTAAGACACATTCATTTACAAAAGGCCTTCTGTGAAGAAAGGATTTTGTTATCCACTTTTTGCAAAACAAAGTGCATTTATGAGTGACATGCCCTAATTTGAATATTGCAATATTAAAAAATTAAAGGTTACGCTGTTGACATAAATTAAATGTATTACATTTTAAGATATACATTGTGCAAAGTTAGATAATTAGTCAGTGCATTGTGTAAAAATTAGATACATACTGTATGTGTGATAATGGCACTGAATACTCATCAGACAGATCAGCTGAATCAAATATAAGTGTTGATAGAGCAATGGAACTTTACTTAAAAAGTAACTAACACCAAACTCCAAAGAGTAACTGTGGTAAAATATTGCATAGTGGCCTCATAGAACCTAATAATATCAAATATGTCCAAGGTGTTGCAAGGATCTTTTTCAAACACTTTCTTATTCCTCTGAATGTTTAAAAGTTTCAGGAGTGATGTTGCATAGCCTGAGAGATATTAAGAGTAGCATCTAATGAGTCATAGAGGTTATTTTTAAAAGGCCAGACTGAAAGAGCAGGGAATAAAATGTTCACAGAGAGTCTAATGTCGGCTAATGTGGGGTCTCCCCGACTGCCTGTCTATAGTATATGCAAAAAGCTATTTGTAGGGACGTATAGAAATTAGAGGTCTTGTTCCCATCAGGAGCATGTCCACCCCTGTGCTTTAAAATGTTACATTATTAAGTAAGCAGAAATGACAGGGCTTAGATTACATTAAATGCTCTCCTGTTGTTCCAATGTATAACTGACTGACAAGGCTATAACAGGATTGGAAAAAGAGAGACCGAAGTAAAGAGAAGTGTAACCGGAGCAGTACAGAACATTTTTTGTCAAATATTCACATTCTTCACAACACTTTCTACATTTGTTTCTATTATAACATTATTTGGGGCAAGATAAAAAACTAAATTCCTCTGACAAAACACAGTCAAGTCAAGGTCCACTTACTCTCCACAACGTTTGACTGAATCAGTCTTCATCCTCAGATTCGTCACCACGTTTTTTACAAATGGGGTAAAGAGTCCATAATGACCATAATTAAAAAATACAACAATTATTTTTCATATTATTTTAATAATTTAATAGCAATAGCAGTGGCAATGTCAGGAGTTAAACAATACACTGAGCAACTGATTGCTCACTCTAATGGAGATGAAGATGTTCAAACTTCCCATTATTCTAAATAAAAGTATAGAAATAATAACAACTAAGGCCTCTTTATCAGCTGATGAGAACTGTGTGATATGGTTAAAAGTTATGGCTCTTTTTGTCATATATTTAGCTCGTAAATGCCCACTGCAGTGTATGTATTGCTGTATGTTTCATGACTGTAAAAAAAAATAAAAAAGGAATTACTGTAGGCCTACAAAAATCTGTATTTGTTGTGCTATCCATTTATCAAGTATGAATAGGCAAATTCTGATAATGGAGAACATAACGCTGATCATACAATAGGTTATATTAATTTGGAAATCCAGCTTTGGATGCCTCTGAGCTGATGCTTATGTGTCTCCTGTCTGGGGGGGTGTTAACATGAATATGCAGTAGGAAGGGATGGGGTCCTTTTATTATCTCACTTGGTCAAGGTATCTTAACAAGATTTACTGCCCAACTACAACCGTTAGATCCCTGCCTAACACTGCAGATGTTACACATAAAATGATTTCCAGCAGTGATGTTAGTGTATCATTTTGACCAGTGGGTCAGAGG